GGGCGGTGCGGGCTCCGCTGCGCCTGGCCCCGGTCCCCCGCTCTCCTTGCCCGCCGCCGCCGCAGTGCAGCCCGCGCCCGGCCCGGTGACAGGTGTCCCGCCGGCCGCCGCAGCTGCCGCCCTGGGGTGGGGTCCCGGGAGAAGCCACCCCAAGTTTGACCCGAGCGCGGCGGCGTGCGCTTGGCCGCTTGCGGGCCCGGCCTCCGCGTCTGTCCCCGGCGCTAACTTGCTCTGCCCTGCCCTGCCCTGCCCTACCGGGCGCGCACTCCTGGGAAGAAACACGATTTTCGGTTTCAACCTGGGAAGGGGGTGTGGGTTGGAGGTCCCGAGGCGATTTCGTTATCCATTGTTAGAATAATTTATTTTAAAGTGATTGGTGTTGGAGAGAGCCTTTTGCCGAATGGTATTCCCCTCCTCAAATGAATCAGGGAGAATGAGGGGTTCCCCTGTTAAATTCATACTCTTTTTCTTCCTGCTCATCCCTTTCCGTCCGCCGCTACCTCCACAGCACTTTGATATATCCCAGACTCTTCACTGGTCTTTTGGGTTGGGGTTATTCCAGCCAGGAATATTACCTCACAGTCAGGATTGTGACTACTCACCTGAGAACACAGCCCAGGAGGAAAGGAAGGCAGTTGCCTCCCTGAGGACGCTGACCTCCTACGGTCTGGTTAGGGAACAAATACGCTAATGATGTATATAAAAGCAGGACAGAACAAAACAATTCCTAGATTTAGTACAGTAACAAAGCTTAAAGGGCAGTATTAGTTTCTGCTTCTTCGGTGCTGTGCTTGAATCGAAGACAGATTTTAATAATGCAGGGCTATAACTCCATTCTGGGCTGCAGTTCATAAAAAGGGAAGGCGAGTGTCGATGTATAAACTCCATGGTAGGAGTTAATAAGCTGACCTACTTCAGGTTTTCCATGTTTAAAGAAACTGTTCCATGCATACATATGATAGATGTGAATCAAATGAAATTACAGTTTCAGTTTTCATGCATCAAATACCCAACTTTTCCTTACATGTGTCCCGGGAGACACTGGGCTTCTGTTAACAATAGCTGTCATCTCTTAATGAACTAGAAGTGTGAATTTAATCTTTAAGTCATAAGCATGGGAATTTTAATGATTTTTCCTTTATTTATAAATTATATATAAATGTTTTGCAAGCACCCCAAGTTAGAAGCTCCCAAACTGGATAAAGTAAATAAAAGGCCAGAGAAGTTCTGCTAATATTAACAACCAATTGACATGTATTATGTCACTGAGCAAACATAATAAACTTTGGAAAATGCATGCTTATTATAATCAGCCATAAGCTGAATACAATCTTTGTATTATTTAAATTGGTATGACAATATCTTGATAGCAGTTGCTTAATTCGTGTGTTTCTCAGATGCTCACGGGGAGGGGACACAGTTTGCTTATTGGGGTTATCTTCTTTTCAATGAACCTAATGCCTTCCATGTAGGCTTAGACTACCACCATGGTGCTCAAAATCACCTGGCAAGGCTTTTGTGCTCACCGCTGCTGCTTTGTGACTGTCAAGAGCAAAGGTACTTTGCTCTACACTCTTGGTTTCCCTTGTGGGAAAACCTCTGCCAGCCAGTGGCCAGATGAGTGGTCAGTCTGGAGTCATGAAAGAGAAAAAGCTGCTGCAATCTTAGTCATTTGTGTCCCTGTAATCTGGTCATTTTTTTTGTGGCCAACTAAGCAAAACAAATACTGAGAAGGTAATGCATTACCTGCCAGCCTTCCTCTTCCTAAGAAGAACCTTTGTATTAGAATCAGGACTCAGTGGTGATGAGGTTCTTGTGAGGCTCAAATGAACATCATCATCACCATCACCACATCATTATCACTATCATCATCATCATCACTACCATCGTCATCATTATTTTGGTGTCTTATGTAGTATATGAATGTAAGTATGTGCACGTGGGGGTGTACAAGCTTGTGTGCCTGAGTGCGTGTGGAGGCCTGAGGTCAACATCAGATGTCTTTCCTTTATCACTCTTCACCTTCATTTTTTGAGACAGGGTCTCTCACTGAACCTGAAGTTTATTGATTCAGTTAAGCTGGCTCCTGTCTCCCTTCCCACCCCAAGCTGGGGTTACAGCCACCCACCACCTCACTCTGCTGTTAGAGTGATTCTGAAGATCCAAATTCAGGTCCTTGTGTTTACATGGCATTATACCACTGGAGCTGTCTCCCCAGTTCCCAAATGAATGTTACTGAATCCAGTTCTAAATCCATTAAAATCACACAAAAAGACAAGACCCAAATGTGTAGCAAGTATTTTCCTTTATTCTAAGGATAGAACAGAAGAGTGTCCCTACTTATTTTAGCTATAAATGTTTACTCCCAGAGCCAAGAGTACCTTGTGGCTTTATATTTTTGTAAGTTTCTCTAATCACTTTAAATCTAGCTCATAGATTATTGAAATTTTAAAAAGTTACTACCATTACTAAATGTTTTGTGATATATGTGCATTTTGAAAAAATGGCTTAACAATGGAAAGCCTCTGTGTGTGTGTGTGTATGTGTGTGTGTGTGTGTGTGTGTGTGTGTGTGTGTGTGTTTCTACGTGTGTGCATTTGGCGGCGAGGGGTCGTGCATTTGGAGGCTAGAGGTCAACATCGGATGTCTTCCTTAGCCTCTCTACCTTATTTTTTAGACAAGGTCTCTCACCTGGAGCTCACTGATTAGGTAGACTGAGTTCCCAGTGAGCTCTGGGGATCCATCTGCCTCAGTCTTCTCCAACACTCAGTACTAGGGTTACAGACAAGTACTGCTGTGCTAGCTTTTTATGTGGGGTGCCGGGGGTCCAAACTTGGGTTCTTGCATGCCAAACACTTTACCAAGTGAGCCATCTCCTCAGCCCACAGTGGATAGCCTTAACACAAAGAGATTTCAGACTGAGCACTTGGAATGATGTGTGATAATAAGGAATTTTGGCATTTGCTGTCAAATTCAACCCTGTGCTGTTCTAAGTCAAGCCAGCTCTAGTAGGTTAGGCAGAGATTAGAGCTTGTCTACCAAGTAAGAACAGAGTAGTTTTAGCATCTATAAATAGCCTTTTCTAGATCAGTACTATCCAGTATGATTTTCTACAGTGATGGAAATGTCCTGTAAATCTGTCTGATAGAATAACCATGAGCCTCTTGTGGCTGTTGAAATGTGGCCAGTGCAACTGGGGAACAGAGTTTTAAATTTTATTCAACTTTAATGAATTTAAATAGCCTCACAGGGCTAGTGGCTACCATATTGGATAGCACAGCTCTGAATTCCCACCACTTGATGGCAGTTATCCTTTAATTAGAAAGAAGTAGAAATTCACATGGATACGGCTGTAATAAAAACACTTGCATTTACTCTGAAGAAAATGTGCTATGCTGAAGCCGAGTACTCCTCTAAAATCCATTGCTTTTAAAACATCCATGTCTGCTGGACACAGAAATCAACATTACCCAGAGTTATTTGGATGCTTGGCTCTGGGTGAATGTTCACAACTTTGAGCATCATTGGCTCTTTTGCACATTGTAAATGATCATTCGTTCTTAGAATTGGTTTTTCTCTTTGCACGTGTTCAAGTCGGTGGGGGGGAGGGTTCAGAGAGAGGTAAAAAGTAGGAGACTGTACAGGGCTGTTCTTTCATCTCTCGCACAGTCACTACAACCCTGTGAAAAGTCTGACAGATGGGTTCCCCTGGCTCAAGGAGCAGCTGAGGGCTGAAGCCTCTGCCTGGGGTCCCTTCTTGTCTGGCTTCCATCCTCTGAGTTTCAAATCTAGATACCCTTGCTCCGCCTAGCCTGACTGCTTACCAAATCCACCTAAATACAACCTATCACTATTTTTAGTAAAACTATTAAAGTGGAATTTAATTTAACTTCTACCGTATTGTTTCACATTTTTAACTAACTTTCTTTGTTAAAACCATTATTTTGCTGGTGGAGAAGAGCACACCTTTAATTAGTTGATTTCACAAGACACCATCTCTCATGTTTCTTGAGTGAGTGACCCTTCCTCACCCAGCCTAGGGCCCTAGGATACCTCTCTCTAGTCCAGATCTCAGGATCCTGGAAATTCCCTGCTGTCCTTCAGTCAATTACTTGGAAAGTGTTTAGGTGTTTGGATATAGTAACTAAAATTAAGTTAAAATAACCCTAATATTGCCTCTGCTTTGAAGGTAATTAACAGCTTATAAGGACATTTCCCAGCATCTGTCTCACAAGGTGATGAGGATATTTGAACAAATTTAAGAAATGTTGGGCTGGAGAGATGGGCTCAACGGTTAAGAACACTGGTTGTTTTTGCAGAAGACCTGGGTTCAAATCCCAGCACCCACATGGCAGCTAACAACTGTCCCTAACTCCAGTTCCAGGGGATCTGACAGCCTCTTCTGTCCTCCGAGGGCATTGCATGACACAGGTGCACTTACCTACATGCAGCAATACACACATACACATAAAATAAAAATAATAAAATATG